CCCCGTCCCCGCCGCCCTCAGCCCTGTCCCCCGCCGCCCTCAGCCCCGTCCCCCGCCGCCCTCAGCCCCGCTAGCCAGTTGACATCCCACCACCAACATTCTTGCCCTATTGAGGCAACGTGAGAAAAAAACTGCAAAAACCAAAAGCGCCGTACTGCCATTGTCCTCTCCGGCCTCCTGGCCTCCCGCCATTGTCCTCTCCGGCCTCCTGGCCTCCCGCCATTGTCCTCTCCGGCCTCCTGGCCTCCCGTGGGTACTTCATCACCAAGCTCAGGTTTTCTTTCTTGATGTTAAAACATATTCAGGAACTGCCCTGTCTGTGTCTTCTGAAACATTTCAAACTAACTCATTTGTTCATAATTACAGGAAAAAGCACCACCCAGGGGTGATCTGAGTGTCTTGAATTTTCCAAAAACGAAAGCAGGAGCGGAGGGTGGTGGAGGGGAGGCCGCACCCCAGAGTGCTCAGAGGTTCCGAGGGCCTCGTGTGCCTCCCTTCACGCTCAGACGTGGCAGGCCCCTCGACGACTGCTGCCTTACCTCCCTGGCAATCGACTGCCCTGAAAGTCCCAGGGGAAGGCACGGCGCCTGCTGTGTGCAGGGACACTTTGCTCCCAGGAGAAAGCCTGTGCGGCCTCAGGAGCAGCAGGACGCTCCGCCTGGGAAGCGGCCAGCGTGCCCTTGGCCATGGTCTGAGGCCTCTTTGTGCAACTGGAAAACCGTAAGTCACCTTTCCGGCAAGAGGGCCAGGCCCAGGATCAAATTCATGGCCCAATGTGGCCTCTGCCCCTGCGGGGCTCCCCCATGAGCCATGAGGAGGGCTGAGAGGGGCCTGAGAGGAGCAAGGGCCGGGATGAGCCCGGTCACCTCTCAAGAGGTCCCCCAGTGCCAGGAGGGGAATCTCGATGCTAGATGAGAACGTGGAGGTTCTCATCTAGCCCCACAGCCCCATGCCATGGGGGCGACTCTTGTCTGTGGCGAGGACGGTCCAGCTCCCACAGGGCCTGGGATGGGGAGGGGCAGGACGCCGTGCCCGCCCTGCCCAGGAAGGAGGCTGCTGGGGCCTCCACGCCTCCCTCAGCTCAGCCCATCCTGCTTCTAAGTGAGGTGCTGGGAGGTGGCAGGGCGGCAGGAAGCCTCCGGGAAGGTGCCGGCTGCTGATCCTTTCCAAGCGCTGGGCCCACCTGCTCTCAAGCCCCTGTCCGCTGCCTCTCGCAGTGCTGCAGAGGAGCACTTGGCCTGCCCTCTTCTGCACAGGGCGGGTCTCTTGGGGCCTGTCAGGGGATGCTGGGGACAGGGGCCTGTGATCCGAGCAGGCTTCTGAGCAGCCAGAATGGGTCCTGGCCAGACAGTCAGAACCGGGCCTGTGGATGCTGTGTCACCCAGCTCAGTGGGCACCCCGGAGCGCCCCAAGGCATAAGCTAGAGCACCAGCCCACTGCACAGAACCACGAGAGACGTGGGGGTAGCGTCCGCCCCCCAGACCCCGTCTGACTGCACGGCACCCCGCATCCAGCAAAGGCCAGGAGGAGCCTGGGATGGGCCGAGGGAGATATGTGACTCCCCAGCCTCCGAAGTGCCCCTGAAGTGTGGGTCTCACCCCAAGGACACAGGCCCGCCCTGGAGGCCCCAGAGTCTGCTCACGTCCCGGCTGCTATTGGCAGGAGACTTGCGGGAAAGCCACAGCCTGGGTCCCCATCTGGATATTGATGGACATGAGTTTTTGGTTCACAGTAGCCTCTCTCCTCTGCCCGGAAGGAGGGCTCATCTCTTCTGGGGAGCTGCGGCTTCCAGAACTTTCTCTTTAGGATGTTTAGACCCTCTTCTGCCCCGGTCTCCTTGGGCTAAGATCACGTCTTGAACTTCAAAATGACGGTCCTGCATTCCTGACTGAAGGACTTTCCTTGCTGAAAACCATGTGGCAAACTCGACATTGTTCAGATATGGCTCCTTCCCTTCTGAGTCTGAGCTGTATTAGAGGTAGGGTGTGTGTGCAGCTTGCAAGAGAGAGACGGGGTGGGGGGGCGCGCATGAGAGAGACGGGAAGGGAGGAAGATTGCTCACTCGTGTGTCTGTGAGTGCTGGGAAATCCTGGCGGAACTCTTGGGATGGTGGGAGTCTGAGAAAGGGCATTAACATCATGTAACATTTCCTCCTCAAAGAGAAGCTTTTTAAAAAATCTTGGTTTTATTAATATTTCAGGGCAGTTTTTATTTTAGTTCCACACAGCGTCAAACAGGTTGCTTTGCGGGAAGCCGCGTTCCTCTGGTCAAGGCCGGGGAATGGACACGCTTTCTGCCGAGGCCGCGAGGCTGTCCGGCGAGGGACGGAGCATTCACAAACGATTATTGACAAAGCGTTATAGAAAAACCAGACTGCGGATTGAAATCCACTATATCCCTTCCAAAAAGGCATCGATAAAAGTCGTCTCATATGAGAGTCTGCAGGTTTCTGGGAGAAGTTTTTCACATTTTTAGTGTTTAAACCTTATTACTAATCAAAGGAAAATACATCCAACACAATGTTCGTTTTCCTTTGATAACTGAAATTCACCGTTGAGATTTCAGGATGAGAAGCTGCCAACTCAGCCCCTCGCTCCCCGCGCCTGGGCGGCGGGTCTCCCCCCTGCCTCTGGCCCCTGGCCGGCTCCTGCTTTCCCGGGCATTTCCCAGCATTCCAGCCACGTGGCTGACCCAACTCAGAGGTGCACCTTTGCGGGGACATGGACAGGAATGTCGGTTGCACTGTGACACCCGATGTGACCTGCTGCGGTGCATACGAGGGGTGTTCTCAGGAGCAGAGGGTCTCACGGGAGGGCTGAGGGGTTGGAGGTGCCTGAGTGGGGGATCTCCTCTCTGTTTGCAGCCAAGTCGGTGCTGCATTTGCTTAAATATGCATTTCAAGTTCCCTCTGGGTTTGCTGCTTTAATTCAGCCTATGGACCTAAAACAGGGAGAATGAATCCCTTGAGGCGGAGGGGGAGAGAGACCTCCATCAGGTCGGAAGCTGCCCGAAGGAGTTCGTTGCCTGTGGTTTGGGTAATGGAGCCCAGTGTGCTTCTGACTCCAGGATGGAGCTTTGGAAGGCGATAATGGCGGGGGAGAGGGAGGGAACGGAGCGCGGCTCAGGATCATTCTTCGGTCCTGGCAGGAGGGATTTCTGCCCCCTGGTCCTGGCTATGGAAAAACGGTTGGCTGCGAAGCAGGTCCACTCCATTTGGACCTCATGTGTAGCTAAAAGAAAGCTTCCCTGAAATATTAACAATAAAATGAGTTTTTTTTTTTTTTTCAGACAGGCGTCTCTTTGAGAAGATTATACATCTGTTTGTTTTTAAAAAAGCTAGATGCATAAAGATACCCACTTTGCTGCTTAAGTTTAGTCCAAATGTTCTAATGAACATTAATTTCCTAAATAAAAAGATCTGGGTCCTCTGTGACTGTCGTATGCATCTCACGAAAGCCCAGCCGCGGCTCAGCGCCTCTGTGACCCGGCCCCTCGGCTCCCCCACAGACGACCAAGGACACACACTCTCTGCAAATCTGAGCCCCAGAAGGGGACGGGCAGACCGTCCTCCTCTGTGCCTCAAGCCTAATTCTCCTTCACTCCAACTTCACTTTCATCTGGAAGAAGGAAAATATTTTTTTAAGTTCTGTTCTTATGGTTATGATTATTCTTTTGCTTCATCTCTGTATTTCTTTTTTTTCTTGCAATCAGAAAAAGTTATTTCAGACATTTTGGGTTCTAACTGAAGGCCATCGAAGTCCTAGAAACAGAGCAGATTCCTGTCCCGATCCGAACGAGCTTGTCCAGCGGAGGAACTGCGTGGCAGAGACAGCTCCACAGCCAAGGGGACAGCAAACGAGGCCCTGGCAGCCGGCCGGGGCCTGCGGGACCTCCCTGGAGTTTGCTGTCTGCATTTCTTAATGCAAAATTGCTTCTCTAAAGCCAAGAGCTTTGAGCCACTTTTAACGGTTTGTCTAGGCTAGGCGGCAATGTGTCACTATGTGGTCTTCACGCACAGTTTTTATAGCCATGGGATCCTTTTTTTTTTTTTTCCGCTAATGAAATCTCATGTACAACCCCAAGATATTATAGGAAAAACCAGGCTGCGGTGACAGAGGGAGCCAGGGACCCCAGGCACCCCGAGGAACACACTGTGTTGAGAATGCAGGGTGGGAGTGCCACCCGGGGGGTCTGGCCCCAGAGGGAGAAGGGTCTCCAGGGGCCACTCGGAAACTTGAAATCGAGAAATCCACAAAGCAGCAACCAGCACTGGCGACACGGGGCCTTCTGGAGTGGAAAGAGACCCCGTATCTTCTTCCCGATCAGCCTGTGGGTCCAGACGCCTGTTCTGGTGGTGGTGTGGACGAGCTGTTGGGCTCAAGGATCCAGGGAGCTTGGGGGGTCCTGAGCCCTGGGGTGGTGGGGACAGAGGGGAAGGCATCTCTCGGCCCTAGTTCGCTGCTCGTAGCACAGGGACTGTACCGAAAAGGCCAACGCCTTGGGCAGGCTGGTCAGGCTGCGACAGAGGTCCCGGTGTCTCTAGGAGGCCCCTGAGTGGCTGCCCCATTGGCTGGTGCTGACTCTTCAGAGAATTTGGTTAAACAGAGCCATTTAGATGGATTCTTGCAGTGACAGTTCCTGCTCTGTGCTTCTGTCGTGTCCCACGGGCAGCGCCATTTGCAGGATGTGTGAACCCTGGGGTCCGGGTCCTCCCTGCTTCATTGCTCTTCTCCACCCGAACCACCATCCTCGGGTTCAGGAGCTGCTGGCCTCGGGCAGGGGCCTGAGCAAGACTCCGATGGAGCCCTCCTGGGGTGAGTCAGCTCCCCAGAAGTCCGTGCTGGCTGAGCACCAAACAGCCACCCAAGTGCGGGCCAGGGCTTGGCAGATGTCTCCAAAGAGGCTCAGACAACCCTCACCTCGGCACCTCCGCCAATCTCAGTGCCACGTCCGCAGGGACAATTCCACAGACAGGAGCCCCGTCACTAGCCCGGACCTACCTGCTCACTGATCTGGCACATGGTGAGGTTCTGGTCATCGCAGGAGCATGCCACGCGGATGTACTTGAGCCAGCTGCCAGCCCCCGCCGGACCCGCCTCCACGCAGAACCGCTCACTGCCCAGGTCTTCGGAGCTCTGCTGGGAGGAAAGCGAAGCAGGAGTCAGAGGTGGCCCGTGTGCTGCAGGCTGCACGCCGCCTCTGCCCGCCCAGAAACCCGGCTGCCTGGGCTCGAGTAGGAAGGCAAATCTGCCACCAGACCTGAGCCCACCCTCTGGGCATCAGGGGATCCTGGCCCCCCCAGCCTGCCCATCCGTGCCCAGGAGTCTCCAGGAGTCCAGCACAAAGGCAGGGATGGCCTTTTCTTTTCTCACCGAGTAGATCACTGCCCTGGCCCGGCGATAAAATGAACCTCCAGAGTTGCTCCCCCACCCCTGCAGCAAAGCTGTCCTGCGTGTGAGAAGGCAGAGGCAGCTGTGTCTGGGAGTGGAGGCCTCTGCGAAGGCCCTGGGGCGCTGGGCTGGAGAGACACGTGCCTGAAGGGGAAGGTGCTGCTGGGTGTGCCCGTGCGTGTGTGTGGTGCTCAGGGCAGCCTGCACACACTCTGAGAGTACGAACAGCATCTGGTTTCCGTAAAGCTGGGGAGTTTCAGTTTGACACCCAGCAGCGTGCAGGCGCCCAGCTGTTCTCACCACGCCCGCAAAGTCACACGTGCACTGAATCGGCTTTACTTTGTTGTCACTGAACAGGCAGAGCAGCAACCCTAGGGCTTGCTTTTTCATTTGCTGTTACCCCCGCTCCTCTGAGGACCACTGATGAGGAGACCTGACCTGATGTCCGCTGTGGAGAGAGGGCGTCCTCTCGACCAGCCTGACCATGGGTGGCGGCTGCAGCACCCCTGGCCTCCCCTGCTCTGGCCAGTGGCAACCCTGGGTTTGGAATCCAAACCAGCAGCATTTTGAGCAAGCTTTCCGGGCAGCCCAGCCCAGACAGGGCAGGAGGGAGGGCAGGGGACAGGGGCTGGGGCCACACCACACTCAGGTCCTGAAAGTAGAAAGGCTGTGTTTGTGTGGGCAGGTGTGCCCTTGAGCAGGTGTGTCTGGGTGGGCTGCTGTGTCCTTGGGTGGGTGCGTCCTGCTGGGCAGGTGGGTCAGGGTAGGCATATGTGTCCTGGGAGGCAGGTATGTCCTTGAGCAGGTGTGTCCTGGTGGGCAGGTGTGTCTTTGGACAGGTATGTCCTGGTGGGCAGGTGTGTCCTGGTGGACAGGTGTGTCTTTGGGCAGGTGTGTCCTGGTGGGCAGGTGTGTCACTGGTGGGCAGGTGTGTCCTTTTGCAGGTGTGTCCTGGTGGGCAGGTGTGTCCTGGTGGGCAGGTGTGTC